CCTTCCAATTCTTCAACCAATTTTTTCACGTCAGACAGTACATTCCAATCTGATGTAAGCATATTGTTCTTTGGAACTCCTCGGCGAAAAATTTCGTCCACACTTTCTTCTTTTAAATCCTTGCACAACTTAGCTTTCTTTTTTGTTGTCCATATTGTCGGCGCCAAAAAATTCTTCATTTGCGCATAAGCACCGCGAAAGAGAATGTCCCCAGTGGCAACAGATAGCATATCAGGTTGCATAGCTAGAAGATACATCATATAATCCGATAAAATTTTGCTTAGTTTTCGCCGGGCTTGAAGATTCATACCTTGCTGCCCATCATCTAAACAGAAGCACACATCTTGGTTGTAATGATCTTGCTGACAATCATCTAAACAGAAGCACACATCTTGGTTGTGATGATCTTGCTGACAATCATCTAAATGAAAGCATATATCTGTTGCGATGTGCCATCTAATAATGGCCTTGCCGAAACTTGTCTGCTCGTGGGCTTGCGGGCCAATATCTGGGGAACGTGAAGCTTTGGAACTTGAAATTGTTTGCTTGTTGGCCTGTGGGCCAATATCTGGGGAACCTGAAGTATTGGACCTTGAAATTGTTTGCTTGTCGGCTTGGGGGCCAATATCTGGGGAACCTGAAGCTTCGGAAATTGGAATTAGTTGCTCATCGTCTTGTGGACCAATATCTGGGGAACCTGAAGCTTCGGAACTTGAAACCTTTTGAAAACTCCATTCGAGTTCATTCGGACAATTGCATACTTTTAGTTCCCATTCCCCAGTTTTGTAAAAAGGCTGATCTCCCTTCTTCTTCACCTCTTTTATATATTGTAGAATCAACATCTTCAACTTTACAGGGATGTGAATATCTTGCATAACAAGATACTTCTTGTGATCCTTATGGTGAGCAACCTTCTTGAGACCATGATTAATCAAACTACCAAGCTTCATCTTTTTTTCGAGACAATAGCTCAGTAAATTTAATTGATACATACGATCGGACCACCTAGGCTTCTTACTTGGATTCCTTGGAGCAACAATTTTCAGAAATTGGCTCACAAATTTATCCTCGTTTCGTAGCATACTGTGAAGTATAGCCCAATCCGAGCATAAAAGCAGCCTTATTTCGTAAATTTCAAGCACAATAGCTCCAACAAGCAATACAAAGGTAATCAAGGTATCTAAAAATAAAATTACGCACGTCCATGATTCACAGGATATGGGTACAATATGAGTTAAGAGATTCCCATTGGCTTTTGAGCACATGATCGAGAACTCACATAAACTAAAAGCTAGACAACCGATGCAAAGGATGCGACCCAAAAAAACACTCCTGAAATAGTTAATAGGCGCCTTGGTGAAGAGTGTATCATACATAAAGCTAAGCTCAAATTCGGTGATTCTGAAAACACACTCAGGAAGATAATCGTCGACACTTGACGAAGGAACATAAGCGGATGAAGGGTGGCCTAGCCAGTTCACGAGATGAGGCTTCAAGTGATCAAAGCGCTGATAAGCTTTCATGAGCAACACTCGCTCGAGATCATCCAGACATGCCTCAGTTTCCGTAAAGCTAAACCGTTGTTCGGGTAATGTACCATTACCAGGTTTTGCCAAAGTATTTATGACTTGGTTTTCACTTTGACTTAATGACATTAGAGCCTGAAATCTCTCTGCAACTTTGATTATTCCAGCTACATACAAAGGCAAGGTCATGTATGGATGAAAATAAGTTTGATTAATCCAAGATTCATAAAGAATCTGAAAAGCGGCGGCGACTTGCAAACCCAGTCCAACATATTGCCTTAACTTGACCTTATCAGCTGAGTAGATGATCATATTAGGGCCACCAATGTTCACCAAAAGCAAAGGCGCCCACCACGACATTAAGATGCCATAGTTTTTATAGAATATCTCAGTGAATAAGTTTTCAGTGTACGGCAAATTGTTCATCTGAGAGAACTTGCCGAGGACAAAAGTTATGATAGGACCCGCGAGGAAGTAACAAGAGCTAAGAAGGAATCTCGTAAAATATGTTAAGTGGTACTTTCTTCTCCGACTGCCAAAGATGGTAAGAACCGTTTGTGCTCCCAAGCTAAATAACATTAGCATTCTCAGCTGGTGTGCATCCCACATTATCTCCCTCCATGATCTCGTGTAAATAAATCTGGATTCCCATGAAAAGATTTTTTCACTTGGTTTCATTTCCTAAACCTGAAAAAATTAATCAATGTTGTTGTACAGGATTGAAAATGTATAAACTTTACATACAGTAACTTCAAATATTGTTACTTTAAAATTCTTCAGATAACCAATAATAATTATAATATAAACACTATCCAACTTGTCGCACCAGCGACACATTTGGGGTCACTATTATCATCATTGAGATCGTCTTTAAGGTGGTTTAACCAAAGGTTTCGACGTACCAACCACAGGTTTGGCGTTTTACCGCAAGAGATTGGAAAAATTTCAACCAATGTTTTCCAACTATGCACAGGAGGAAGGCCACATTCAACGGTTGACACATCAATTCTGTTGTATAGATCGTCTCTGGACAATCTCAATAGCACTTGACGGTACGGCTATCAGCCATCACGTACAAATGACTGCCATTGGAAGACATCTTCGACTAATTTTTTATATTTGATTTATTATTTAAGTTTGATTTAATATATTTTATTATTAATATATTAATTACATAATACATATATGGTTTTGCATCTAATAATTAGATATTTTTAAATACTAAAAAGACATATTTCATATTTCATACTTTGCCAAAAGAAAGTGATAATGACATATAAAACCAAAAGCGACCATTGGTTGCTAGTTTTGAGTTTTCACGTTAAGACTACACACATGAGATTATTACAACTTATAAAATAAATAAATAAAATCCAAAATTAACTATTTATTGTACTGACCTGGTGCTTAATTACGTATTTGAATTTCACAAAGAAAGAAAAACTGACCTCCTGCCACTGCTTCACGATTCTCAGTCCCAGATGAAAGGGAGGAGATTTATGAGAAAAAAATTGATAGAAGTTCTCAAAGACAATTGAGAATTTTCAGAGGAGATATATTATTATTATTGCATTAGAAAATAGCTTTGGCTTTGGCTTTGAAAAGGTTAATTAATATCATACATTTCATTTAGGGGTTTCACAAGCATGCTTCAAACACTCCTATAATAAAATTTATATGCAAATTAAAAGGTATATAGAATTTATTATTTGCTTGTAACTCTTCTCACAGTATCGAACCTCAATTGCTTTACAACTTTATATATTATATATATTTCTCTTTAACTTTGCTCAGCTTTAGCACAGTTTGTCTAGAAAGTAAATAATAAGACTACTCCTAAGTCTCCTAAATTAATCATGTTTGGGATGTCTAAGAGGGAATATTTTATCTTAGATTATTGAAATTTTTTTCCTGCATAATTACCTCATTTATTTAAAATCTGGACTGCAACTCAATATTATCTATGTAATGAATCGAACAACAAGATTAAAAACAAAAACAAAAAAAAATTTGAATAGTTGCTCAATTTATTATATCATATTGAGTGTCTTATCGTGCACAGTTTAAGACCATTAGCTAAGAAAATTTAAAAATTTTGACACACTTTTTCTTTACAAAGTTTAAAAACACACACACACATGTTTTAATGTATTGGTTTGATCTTTTTTTTTTTTAAATTCATGAGTAGTTTTAGCGTGTATCCCATGTTAAGATATAAACCACTTATGGATAAAAACTTTTGATTATTCTGATAAACTTTATCTATAAAAGACCAAAAAAAAAAAAAAAAGTACATTTAGTAATGATTATACTAACTTGCGAATGTTTATTGTTATTTAACTCTTGGATGTTTATGAGATAAGACTCCATGAAAGTCACGATTACACGTTTACTAGGATTTCAGCTTTTCTAAAATGTTTTCTTTGGTATCTATGTTCTCTTGTTGGATGATTACGATATAAGCCTCCATGAGAATCACGAGTACATGTGTTTTCTCTTTGTCTTCAATTTTTATTGATCGGGTCCCAGAAGCTTTAAAATATATCAAAAATTAATCTAAGCATATTAATTAACTTAACCATATCATTTACACATTTTAAGTCTTACTTTTCCGATAAATCTATTGATGCAAAAAAGTTCACAGGAGAAAATCTTAGTCATTTGAACACTAGAGAATTGACACCGAAATTCTCATTTATAACCAACATTTAACCTTTTTTTAACATACTAATCGATTTTCTTGTATTTATTTTATAGAAATGAATGCATTTGATGAATGAATACCCATTGCAAATTTAGAGCATAAAACATGAGATATTATGTTGTTATGTTATTTAAAATATTATGTAATTTTAATTTTGGGAATAGTACTTGGAATGTCGGATGTATTTGTAATTTTCGTAAACAATTTAGGTGTATTTGTAATTTTCACATGGTATATTTGTCATTTTTGTGAATAGTAGAGGTCTATTATAATTTTTTGGATACCCGAAACTGGGACTTGAGTTTTAGGTTCTAGTTCTAGGCATTTAAGAATCAGAACCGACCGTTTTTTGTTCTAGTTCCATGGGATTTGGGTGGGAACTTTGACCAAATCATTTAATTTTTGTGAATAGTAACACAAAATGCGCAAAAAATATGCACTATATAATTTAATTCTTTTACTGATCTTAAAATAAATGATAATTCTAAGAGAATGAATAATATATTTTTAATTTTTACATTTCAAGCCTTAATTAATCATCCATATATTAGTGAAATATGGATTGAATTGAGGTAAACTAAAAGCCACACACACACATATATAAATTAATGATGTTCTTCTTTTGCATTATTGAATAAAGGCAGAAAACACTTATTCTCTTCTTCATATTACATGATATGAATCAAGAGATTGCCGAATTAAAAAAATACGAAGAAATTTCTTATTTCTTGTTTACAACAAATGAACCAAATACTAATTAATCTCTGTAATTCTCTCTCCCTCGAGAATAATCGCCTTTAAAAAGAATCTATTAATTTCTTTCCTTCCTTGCTATCTCTGTCACCTCCTCCTTCCTTTGTCACCTAAACGAAGCTCAGCGACAATCGCGGCTTCATATTCACATGGAGAAATTGGATCCTTTCTTGATTTAAATTCTACTAAATACATATCAAATCATGACTATTTAACTTGATATGTAATTAGAGAAGATATTAAATATGAGAGGATCCAGGTTCTCGCAAAGAGTTAACCTAATTATTTTTTTATTTTATGAATATTAAATAATAAATCTATAATATAAAAGTAAATTAAAATAAATCCTCCTTGCCTAGAATCTCTTAACTATAGGCCTGCATCTGCTCCTCTAAGCATCGAAATCACACTGAAACATCGGTGGGACGAGCGAGTTGAGCTCCCCAAAAAGCATTTCATCTCCTTCACCATAACTGCTAGAATCTTGACAACCAAAGTAAGTCTGAATGTCTTCCGGGAAGCTACACTGAAGTGGGTCTGACTCCATTAACGGCGGCGTGGATGTACAATTATCAGCTTCGGAAGATGTAGTAGTCATCTCCATCATCTCCTTGAACTTTGATGACTGGAGGAGAAGCCCTAGGGCTGACGTGGCAGTTACCGGTCGAACCGGCTGAGTCAGCAGCGAGATGGGGGTTTCATTGGCACTCACACTTGAACTTTGTTGGTTGTTACTCAAGAAGCCTAAATTGAAGTCTTGATGATGATTTGAAGAACTTCCATCAAGAGTTGATGATGTTAAGCATGTGTCCAACAGCAGGTTAGGGTTAACAACATCATGATTTGGATTAATGTCACGGCCGTGATGATCCGGTTTCAGCCACTTGATGTAACGACTGAGGTCAAAGTTTGTGACAGCGTTTAATCCACGGTACTCAATGGCTGCCATATCGTATGCAGTGGCAGCTTCTTCTTGGGTAGCTGCTAAAATTTAATGAGAGAATTAGGAGAAGTTTGATTACCTGAAAATGACACTGGTTTTCTAGTTCAAAAATCGACAGCACATAATGTCGGCATAGAAGAAATACCATCTCGACCCCAAAAAGATGGAGAAAGATAAGATTTTGTATGCTAGGAGTTCCTTTTTTTCTGAATTTTTCTCATACTTTCAAATTTAATCAGAGACGAACGCTATATTATGATTTTCTATGGTGTGATGGTTTATTTATTTAGGAAAAAAATAATGAAAACGACTCATTTATAAATAAAATTAGGTAAAAACTACTGGTAGGTTGAATTTAATGTCTGGAGAAAGAGATTAATTGTTAGGGCTGGGGGACCATCCCTTAGGCAATTGACTTTGATTTGGAGCTAGCATGCTCATTATATATATCGTTTCTTTTTAGTTGGGTGTGGCCAATTGCACATGGGCAAGTGACTAAAATGAACTGTATTTGCTGCTTGGCCTAATTGGGTTAGGTCATTTAATTAACAAAAAATTAATTAAGCCAGCATATGATGGATGAAAAATTAAATTCACCAAATAAAGGTGTTAAGGCATTACCGTATGTCCCAAGATAAAGGTACTTGTTGCCAAACACTCTTCCAATCCGAGCTTCCCATCTCCCATTGTGATGATGCCTACAAACACAGGAAATCCAAAATGAAATTAATCACCATAATTTGTGATAAAAGAATTGCAATTAATCGAATCATTGATATGACAGCAAATTAATCCTATCTCAACAAGAAATCTCGATGTCACATTATCAAAATTAGGATAAACTTTAAAATTAAAGAGTCACGCTCATATTTATAGAATATTAATTAAGTCGTATGTCTTTCAGATTATATATATAAAAATTAAGTAGGATATACACTCGTTCTATCTTAGACTTTCTTTTAGATTGAAATAGAATGATACTATATAAATTTTAGATTAAACACTAACAAAGAGGGATGTGATATGATTTCAGAATCGTACCCAAATAATATTACAAAGTAATTAGACTGGGATAAATTAATAGAGTAATTAATTTGTACCTTGCAACACCTCTATATTTAGAAACTCCTCTAGAAAAGCCACTGCTTTTCCTGCAAAGTTCAAACGGAATAAGAAAAATTAATCAATTAAGTAATTAATTAAAACTATAATTGCGGCAAAAACTTTGACTATGTCTGCAAGAAAGAACACCTCACCTTCTCAATGATCCAATGTACTCTTCTCTAGACTGACCCTCCATTTCCTTCAGTTCTTTTTGGTACGTTGATAGCTACAAAAATCAGTAATTAATGTTTTTGATTAAGCTTTCTTCCTTATTTAATTTTCTCATTATAGAGATTAATTATTAAAACACATGAAAAAATCTAAAATATCAGGAAACACCATATCAGTCGTACCACAAACCAATTAATTTACATCAGAGATGAATTATTTTTCATTGCCTACATGCATTGATCTGTGGTATCGTTGATACAGTATCTCGTGATACCGTAAATCTCTAAACACAAATCATAAGGTAAAGAGAGACTAAAAAATTTACAGGAAAATTAAGAATGGTGTCTTGACCCCAATACTTGAGAGCTGCTAAGTCATATGCATGAGCCGCAGCTGCTTCATCATCATAAGCACCTGAACAGAAATGAAGCCGTGAGACATATGTAATTTTAAAAAGATAAGAGTTTAATTAAATAACTGGAAAATGCGATGGATTGAAATTAACCTACCAAGATAGACTGCAAAATTTGAGTAGAATTCCCACAAAAATGCAAAGGAAATAAAAAAGAATCCATCAATAATGTTGTTTTAAAATTGATATAAAAAAAACAGGAAAAAGATTAAAACAATGTGAAAGAGATTGAACCTTGTCTTCCTTTCTTATTCTGTGATTCATTCCAGCAGTTCTTGTCCCACAAATGAGCTTCATATCGCCCCGTCCACCGGTGCCTGAAACATCAACAGAAGACACTCATTTCAGACACTACTAGAAAAGCAGCCTTGCTCGACAGGCAAGAACAGTCGAGGACCACTTTCAATCACAGAAAACAGACCCGGAATGAAATCAAAATTAAGAAATTAAAAAATCACCTAGTGACCCCTCTGTAAATGGAGCTACGCTGAGGAGGAGAGTCTCTTGGAACGCTTCTTCTTGTTCTTTTCACCTTGGTCACACCATTATTAGCTGTAAGATTAGTATTATTATTACTGTTACCATTGGCGTTTGCATTGTTTTTCTGGTTTTTCTGTGACAACTTGGCCATGAAGAGGGAGGTGATAGCGAGAGATAAAAGTTGAAAATTGAAGTAGATGACTTGGTCCTCCAATGGGGTGGTTTTTAAAGGGAAGAGAGGCAAAAGAAAAGGGTTAAAAGAGTGTGGGCTGGCACATTAGAGACAGCCGGCCACTACAACGTGCTGTTTCTGGCCGTCTTCAACCGGCTCTTGTGGTTTCTTCTCTCTTGTCTTCACCTAATCTTGTGGCATGTGCTATCACAATCAAATTCAATTTAATCCCTTTGATTTAACCCTTTATTGCCCTTCTTTATATTTAAGTTAATTAATTTTGTTCTTTTTCTTTATCCATGAATTATGTAGTTATATTATACATACTTATCAATCGAGAAAAAAATTAAATTATCACGGTGATATCATATCGTCCACTTCATAATTCCATGAATTTATGTCACTTTTAAATATTTTTTTTCTCTTTTGTCATAATAATTAATATGATTGTTGGTTACTAAACTGTTATTGTCATGTTTATTATATAATATGATTATAGAATATATATATGAGATAAAGAATATTGATTAATACTTAAAATATAAGATTCTATTGAGTGATTCATGAGGTAATGATAGGTGCTTAATTCTCTTCTTGTTAAACCAATTGCTTTACTGTGAAAATGCTTAAAAAAATTGAGCTATTTTGGAATCTCACATTTGGCTAAATTATGGTTTATATCTCCAAGAAATAATTATATGTTTAGCGAATTGGATGCTTTCATGATCTTAAGTTTATCCTAAACTTAAAAGAAATAATATTTTATGATATGTATATAATTTTTTATTAACTTTCAATCAAAGTTTTGTATTTACTCTTGTAAAATTTCATAACAATGAGTTTAGACATATATTTACATCCCAATTTATTGTTCCAAAACAATAAATAATTTAATTGATGAATACTATAAATAATTTGATAGATGGTTTTAAAATTTCATTCCAATATATACTTTCTTTTTTATTATCAATATGAGTTATGTTTATATGGTTTTTTAATCTTAAGCTAAAAAAAATTAGGGTTGGCTTTAGATAAAAGGAAAGAAATGGTGGAAATAGAGTTAAGAAAATTGATTTATACATTCCCCATCTACTTTCTCTCTTGAATTAATTAATTGCCATACAATTTCATTCCACTCCGTAGGGGCCTCTAGGGTTGAAATCTTGCACCACTGCCCATTGCCCACGCCCATTTATATTGTCCTTGAAGTGGTTTAGTATTAACATTCATATTGTGGATCGCGTTGACATCTAAACATATATTTTTATATATTTCAGCTAGCTGGCTAGTCCAAAGAGTATTTTAGTGCTGTAAATTAATTTTTATATGAATTCTTTCACTTTATAAAGAGAAAATATATTAGTGGAATGTATTTTAGTGCTGTAATTTAATTTATTAATAAACTAGAATTCAATACATGCTTATATTTGTCCTCTCTTAAGCTGTAATTGTAGTATTGTACATCTTACAACTCAGATTTACCTGGCAAGAGATTATTTATACTCCTCATTTCATGAAACCTTATTTTAAGGAGAAATAATTGAACCAAAATACTTTTTTTTTTAGAATGAAGAAAAAAAATACAAACTGTATTTTCATCGAAGATTAAACATTTTTTATCAATCGATGTACACTTTTTAAAAAATATTTTTAGAATAATAAACACTTTATTAATAGAAAATGTGTTTTAATTGGTAAAAAAAAAAATGTATTTATTAATAGAAATGCAACTTTTGTCTGTTTCTTTTTTCCTTTTGTTTTATATATGAACCAAAATTCAGCTTTAATGTTTGAAGCAAATTAAAAGTGTTGGTTGATATATAAGGACTTACATTTAGGCAACCCAAATATTGGTGCAATTTGGACATTGACAATTTGACATAAAAAGATATCCCTTATTTTCAAAAACAAAAAAACTATATAAAATTCTACATCAAAGGGAAGGTTTTTTTTTCCCCAAAAAAATTATAAAGTAACAATAAAGTACTTATTTAAAAAAAAAAAATTAATAAAACATTTCAATATAAGTACAAAAGCACAATTGATTTTTTGAAAGCACTTTTTCACTTGTGTTAAATAAGTACTTCCACAATTAATGTTGGTTCGGATAGGATATGGGGTGGGCTTAGCTATATCTAATTTATTTTACAAGCTTTATTGGGTTCATAAAATCGGCCCATAAGGAAAACAAAAAATGGGCTTGAATAATCCAACCACTAAATTGGTAGAGAGTGAAATTCAATACTTTAGATATTTAAGTTCAAGATTAGAAATTTTTTTTTTTTTTTCTAATTAACTATATTCTTTATTATTAGACATGATAAATTATTATTTTTCATTGATTTGTTGTATTACTGTGACTTCCTTCTAAGAGGGATCAAAATTCTTCGATTTCACTTCTTTAGATGTGTAGGGAGAGAATTTGTTATAGTTCAATAAGATTTTTAGACCATCCAAAATCCAACCTAAATATATGAACATAAAAAAAAAGAGAGAGAGAGAAATTCTCAAATGGTTCACCTTCCATTTATTTGAAAAAGAGAAAGAATCATGTCACTTTTGAAGCCAAGATTATCAATTTATCATAATGAGAATATATTCTTTTTCTTGCAATGTGAAAGAGAAAAAGCAAGAAATTTTCTTTTTTTTTTTTTTTTTAAATTGTTCTCTTTCAGTCTACTTTATCACAAATTAATGTAAAGAAAATAAAGAAAAGAAAAGATTATTTTCCCATAAGCTATATGGGTGGGACCTTGATTCTTTTGATTGTGAATTTTGGAATTTGATTTTGTATTTTCAAAGTTTTGTTCTCTAACAAGTTGGAAACCTTTCTAAATATTTTTTTTTCTTTTTTTGATAACTAGGATGCTCAGGCCAACATCCTGTAAGCCCAAAGAACCAGGTAAACTACAATGTTATGATAGGTGACCTCCAGGTTTAAACCCAGGAACTTGAAGAAGTGAACAAACCTCATTGACTATCAGACTAAGCCCTTGGGGTTGCTAAAAAAAATGAAGACATTGTTGTGCTTTTAAAAAATTGGTTTTAATAAAGGTGATTGAATATATTGATGCATATATTAATGGGAGATTATCACTGACCACCCCTATAGTTTTATCAGTCAAATGGATATATATGGTAGTTTTCGCAAATTTAATAAACAATACCCTTGGATTTTAAAAAAACTCATTATTAACACCCCTTCAAGCTAACTTTGCCTAATAATTTTATATTTTGTTAATAAAATTTTACTTTTATTTGGTAATTTAGTCAATTTATAATTTTTAAAATTTACAGCTTATATTTAGGATTTGATTGGTAAAAACTGAAGTTAGCTTAAAAGAATATTAATGATATTTAAAAAAAAAAATTAGGGGTATTGTTTGATTAAATTTGCAAAAACTATCTTATATCCATTGATTAATGAAACTATAGAGATGGTTAGTAATAATCTCCCAATATTTAATCTATTTTAAGTTTACCATCATGGGCTCTAAGGGCATATTTTATGTTTCCCATCATGTATATATTATATGCATAAATTTGGCAGAAAAGAAAAAAGTTGTGTAATTTTTTTTTTTTTTTTTTTTAATTTGTTTTATGACCATTAATTGTTAGTTGAACCATAAGGCATAGACACAGTATATATTCTTGCATAATGTTCTATCCAATTATTCAATTTTTCTTGCCAACATCCAAATCCAGTATAGTTACAACTGACTTCAACCTTATTGTATGTAGAAGAAGATATCCTTTTATCTTCCCAAACGGCTCACCAACTTTAGATTGTCAAGTTTTTTGTGTTTAATTGGCCAACCACCTTGCAGAAAATAACAAATAATTGATTTAGGTGAACACCCTTTGCCCTCTGCCATAGGGGTTTCATGAACAAGTTCTCAAGTTATCCAAATAAATACTAGAAACAAGGGTTACGTCAATACAGGGTCGCCCCAGTATAATGCGTCGAAAAATCGTCAGAGAATGATGGCTGAGAAGATAATGCCCTGACGCCAACAAGCACCGAAAGTAGAATGCCTCTCAAAATGGTCATAACTCCATTGACTAACTACTACCTGACCTTGAATGACTTAAAGGAGATGATTCCATGGATACAACTACTTATACAACCACTAATTGTTGGGTATGGTGTATAATTCTCTTAACCTTGATGAATTTGTCTGTTTACAGCCACTCATTTAGATTTAGAATTAGTTTACTAATATTTAAGCTTAGGTCGAGTTAGATTCGGATAAACCCAAATGAGATTAGGTTTTCTATTATACATTTTCTATAATAGTAAGAAATCTAAGATGTGGAAGAATAAAGAGTAAGAGTGAGCTGCTGTCTTTTTCTTTGTAACTACGGTAGAATTCTGATACTCAATAAAATTCTCTTTTTGAACGTTGGACGTAATTTTTTAATTAGAATAAACTAAGATAAATTGTGTGTTTTATCTTTTATTTTATGCTTTACTCGTGATGTTTTTGACTTTCAGATACAACACTAATGGTGAAAAGATGGTTGGTACAAACCTAAGAATGGTAGTTGGGGTTAACATGAAATTCTAGCATTTAGATAGTGGAATGTTATATTATTATTGACAACAGTAAATACTCTGTGTTCTCTTACTTCATTTGATAGGTAGCCATTAATCTTTCCAATAATTAATTCATAATGACTACCACTGACTTCAGAATAGAAAGGCTTGCGGTCAATAAACCTCACTTCATTCTCTTTTGTTTCTTCCATTTTACAAGATTGCTTCCATTTTACAAGATTGCTACGCATCTCAAGTAAAACTCACAGTTGACCCAGACCCCAAAATTTATTGCCAAAATATGCCTTTGTCTATTCAAAATATAAATGTACTTCCATGGCGCCACATGATATTTAAACATAAAGTTATAATTAAAGAGAAAAGGATAGTTTTCTTTAGAGTAAACAACTTTTTCTCTCCCAAGGTTTGCCTCAACGAACTTTCTCATCTCAAAAGTTTTAAAATG